AAAAGGGAAAGACATCAGCAAAGGTTTAAGGAAAAAAGTGTTCCAGGTCAACAAAACACCTTCACTCTGTGGTGAGAAAGAACTTGGACACTGGGCAGTTTAAGGGCTGCAGGTGATGGAAGGGTGAGTGGTTTCGAACAGTTTGACTGTGAAGTGTCAGTTGCCAAGTTGTTGGGTACTTTTTACCATCAATACTTTTTGATGCTCTCAGACAGCCCTGTTGACACTTGCTTTGTAAAAATCTGTATGGTGGGACCAGCAGATGGCATAATGGTTACATCGCTGGACTCCCGCATGGCTGACTGTGGTTCAAGTCCCAGACCTGGAGGCTTGAAACTGAAGCGGGGCGCATGTGCATGTGTGCCCAGAATCCCGAGAATGGAGAAGAAGGAATTGTGGCTTGGCCATCCCCCCTTGGGGGGGTGATTTCTCACTTTCTGTCTCTGCCTCTGTCTCTCTCTCCCCTGGCAAGTACATGTGCCCTATAGCAAAATACCCTCTTTAAAAAAAATCCAAAAAACTGTATTGTTCATTTCTTCCCAAATCACACAGTGGAAAAATTCAGTGATAAAATCTTTATTTTCACATTGTTATGAGAAATCTTGTAATGAAAACATGTCTTTATCTGGGTCCAAACACATGCTGAGTGTTCTGGAGTTAACTGGTTGTAGCTGGAAGTTATAGTGAAAACAAATCCCCTTCAGATGGAACTTATTTCAGACAGATATGGAACGTAGTCCCAAAAGCTGTTCGTTTATCCTGTCAAAATGAAAAAAGAGGAAAAATCTGTTATCACAGGTAAAACAATAATAATGGAAAATGTTTGTGGTGTTTCCTTAGCACATGAATATTTTTTAGGGCAAAATTGTCTTCTTGCTGGTTTTGATATATCATCTGGGCATAGGTGGATGTTCTGTTCTTATATTGTTTATCATTGGTGACTCCGCGTCCTTCTGGGGTTGAACTTTAGTGGACTAAAGACAGGGAGCTGATATATTTATTTATTTATTTCCCCTAAAAAAATTATTTTTCCTGGCACCAGCAGTTGGCGTAGGCTATGTCGCTAGACTCCCATGTAGTCGACCGTGGCTCATGTCCCAGACCCTGTGGCTTAAACTCATGCCGGGTGCATGTGCGTGCATGCCCAGGATCCTGAAAGGAGAATGTAGGAGAAGGGTGATTTCTCGCTTTCTGTCTCTCTGTCTATCTGGCGAGCACACGTACCCTATAGCAAAAACCTCAAAAAAAAATAATATATATATATTATTTTTTTCTTAGTGTGTGCAAAGAGTTGTGAGGTTTTCATAAAACCCATTAGACTTTTTATGTTTAAGGACCTCTGTTAAATTTTTTTTTAATGCAAAGGCAGAGAGCGAAAGAAGCATCCTCCCCCGCTCCATGGGACATAGTCCTGCTATAATCCCTTTTCTTCCATCCGGTCAGGGTTTTGGGGCATGTGTGCTCACATTCCTGGAGTATTTTTCAAGCTGTCAGGCCAGGATCTGAGCCAAGGTCGGCTGTGTGGGATCTGATTCCCAGTGCACAGTGCTTTACAAACTATGTGACTGAGTCAGCCTTCCCGTAGATTTAAAAAATTTTTTGTATACTTTTTACCCTTTGATAAATAGTCACAGTGATACAGACTACATACTACAGAAACAAAGGGAAATCTGGATTCTACATAGTATTACTTTTAGTTAGATGAACTCAATTATGTAATTTATATTTAATTTTGTTAGTCCTTCAGGGATGATAAAACCTAACCATTACCTTGCTCTGTTAATACAGATTTTTCTGAGCACTCACTCTTCACTCATTAGGGAAACACCAGTCACTCACTTGGTGTTCCAGCCTTGGGTTGGCAGTGTTCAATAAGACATTATCTCTGGTTTCAAGGAGCTCAGAGACTTGAGGGGCACATAGTTATGGAACAGCCTAGGACTGTGTGGCGAATGCTAGGAGACGTGATGGACAGCGCAGTTGCGGGCTTGTGGGAGGAAGCAGCCAGTTTCGAAGAGTGTCAGGAACAAGGAGGTAACGAAGTGGGCCTGGAAGGATGAGCGAGGCTGGAGAGGAATGGTCTCCATAGAGGCAGCGGGGTGGGGGGAAGCTTGGATGAGCTTGTTTGCCAGGTGGTTGGAGTTTGGGCCTGTTATTTATTAGGCTGTGATAGAGGAAGTGCCGGAAGTGGGAAGCTGTGGTGGCCTTTTGTGAAGGGCCTTCCATGCATAGGGAGGAGTTGGGACTAGAGTCTTTGGAAATGGGAAAAGCAGCAGAAAAAACAGCAGAAAGACATGAGCTGTTCATGTTTCTAGAATGTTACCTTCAAAGAGTATGGAGGAAGGGAAAGGGAAGAGACTAAAGGTATCAGGCAGGAGGTTCTTCCGAGAGTGTAAGCAAGGCATGGGGAAACCTGGCCTGGGGTAGTAGCAGGGAACAGAGAGAAGCTGTAAGTTTCTGAAACATTTTTGAGGCTTCCTAAAGCTCCCACTGAGGGACATTGTATTGGGGAAGGCGCGACGTGGAAGTTCCGGGGCTTGTTCTACTTCTGCCCCATGATGCCATGATGACACCATAAATCCCTTTATCATTTGGGATTCTTGCTGGTCAAGCACAGAAGGATACTTGTCTGTGTTTCTTTTTTTTTTTTGGATAGGTTTTTGCTATAGGGCGTGTACACTCACCAGAAAGAGAGAGACAGAAAGACTGAAAGCAAGAAATCACCCCCCCCGGGGGGGATGGCCACACCACAATCCCTTCTCTTCCATTCTCCTCTCGGAATCTTGGACGCGTGCGCATGCGCCCGGCGTGAGTTTAAGCCACCAGGGCCAGGACTCAGACTGCAGTTGACTACATGGAAGTCCAGCAACATAGCCATTATGCCAACTGCTGGTTCCAGATTACTTGTCTTTCTACCTGTCCCTTCAGTTCTGGGATCCTAAGGGGAATAAGGGGAAATGGAGCCAAGTGTAGTAGCTCACACCTGTGGTTTTCCCAGCTGCTTGAGAAGTTGAATCAGGAGGATTGAGATAGTGAGATCCTCTCTTTAAAAACCACCACCGTTGGGACCAGCAGTTAGCGCAAGGGCTATGTCGCTGGACTCCCATGTAGTCGACCGTGGTTCAACTCCTGGACCTGGTGGCTTAAACTCATGCTGGGCGCATGTGCGTGTGTGCCCAAGATCCTGAGAAGAGAATGGAGGAGAAAGGGATTGCGGTGTGGTCATCTCCCCTAGGGGTTGGGGTGATTTCTCGCTTTCTGTCTCTCTGTCTGTCTGGCGAGTGCATGCGCCCTATAGCAAAAACCTCTCCAAAAAAAGAAAAGAAAAAAAACTACCACCATAAAAGAACGTATAAGAGGAGCATGTCAAACAAAAGAAAGTAATGAAAGCCTCCAACAGACCTCACACAGTTTATGGGGCCAGCCGGTAGGGTGGTTAAGGTTAAAGACAATGGATTCCCACGTGGCCAACTGTGGTTCGAGTCCTGGACCTGGTGGCTTGCTTTCTCCTTTTCCCTTTCTCTATCTCTGTCTCTCTGGTCAAATTAAAATAATAATAATAACAAATAGAATTAAATAAATAAATAAATAATTATTTGAGAAAAAAACCCAAAAAAACCACACACAGTTTAGAGTTTTACAATCTTTTCCTTTCTTTCTTGCTTTCTTTTCTTTCTTTCTTTCTTTCTTTCTTTCTTTCTTTCTTTCTTTTTTTTTTTTTTTCTTTTTTTTTTTTTTTTTTTTTTGCAGCTAATAGTTGTTTCCTCTACTATTATACTAAAAAACTCCAGTACAGGAAAAAAAAAAATCTAGGTGTTGGATTAGTAGGATTATCAAGTGTTGCTTATCACAATGTTGTAATTGTGTGCTTGACTAAGAGCAGCTCTTGATTTACCTGCTACACACATTGTGTCAGCAGAGTCCTACTTTATATGTTCTTGACATCTGTATTTGATATATGTAAGCAATCACAGTTGAAATCTCTGTATTTTGCTTTAAGAGGGGCTGCACTCCTCGGATGGAATTGTCAGCCCGTCTGAGCTTTCGCGCTCTCGGTTCCAGAAGTATCTGGAGGTACATCGTTCTGAGCCTTTGCCAGGCCAAGGCACGCTCAGCACTCATCAGCCCACTGGCGTCACTGGGGCTTTGCTTTTGAAATAAACGGGGCAGAGTTTGCAATGTTTTTTATTTTCCACTCTTTCTTGAAGTGTTTTTTTGGGAACTGTCCTTTGTTATTGAATGAGGGAGTAGGAGTTAATAGGAGATTATATAATATATTTAAATATTAACTTAAGTTTGTTAAAAGCAAAATAAATAAGACCACTGAGAGGAATTTAATTTAGTAGGGTTTAATTGAGCAAAGAATGATTTGCAAATCAAGTAGCCCCCAGAACAGGTTCTGACGAACGTCAAATTGCTCATGGTGAGTAACACTTACGTACAGGCAAAGAGAAGTGTCAGACAATGGAAGTGAGGGAGGGAAACAGCTGGAATGGTTACAGCTTTGTGTTTCTCTGTTCGAACAGTTTAAATAGTGAGTTGTGTGTGATCAGGTAAAGCAGGTCTCCTGTGGCTCAGCTTTATTTTTTTTTAAAGAGAGATTTTTGCTATAGGACGCACGTGTTTGGTGGAGACACAGAGACAGAGAGAAAATGAGAAATCACCCCCTGGGCGGATGGCCACTCCACAATCCCTCATCTCTCAGGATTTTGGGCACACATGCACATACACCTGTTGTCAGTTTTAAGCCGCTGGGTCCAGGACTCAAACCTCAGTCAGCCATGTGGGAATCTAAAACTTTAATCACCATGCCACCTGCTGGTCTTCTGCTGTTGTTAAGGAAACAGACTGCTAGTTAGGTTGTGGTTTGTTTACAGAACTCAAGTATGCCGGTATGGAAACCTTTTCAGGGCAGTGTAATTCAGTAAGTTGCAATAACCTAAAATAATAACTGTCTTCATAACATATTGTTAAAAGAACCTCTTTTCTTTTTGTTCTAGTTCCAAAGGATCCAAAACCCCAGTGGAGACGGGTAGCATGGAGTTATGACTGCACCCTGCTGGCCTATGCTGAGAGCACAGGGACTGTGAGGGTGTTCGATCTCATGGGAAGTGAACTCTTCGTCATTTCCCCGGTAGGTGCACTCCTGAAGGTGGTGACAGCCCTCTATGTACAGGTGCCTGAATGGGTGCGTGAGAACAGAACTCAAATACGAATCAGAAAAGTAAACTGTGACCTTAAGTTGTTCAGAACCTATTTGGAGATCTGTGTACATGCAATATTTATTCTTTTTTATTCTTTTTTTTTCCTTTTTCTCTTTTGCCAGAGGGCACATGCACTTGTGTGTGTGTCGGAGACACACACACACACACACACACACGCAGACACGCACACATGAACGGAGAAAGAGAGAGAGAGTGAGAGAGCACACTCTATGGGGCATGGTCATACCACAATCCTTTCTCCTCTCTCTGTCCTTCATTTGCGATTTTGAGTATGCATGCACATATGCCTGATGTGTTTCTCAGGCTGCTGGGTCCAGGACTCGAAGTGGGCAGTTGGCCGTGTGACATGGTTGTAACCTCCAGGACATGGCTGGCCTACAGTCTTTGTTCTTTCTCTCTTTTCTTTTTTTTTTTTTAATTTATTTTTTGGAGAGGTTTTTGCTATAGGGCACGTGTGCTCACCAGACAGACAGAGAGAGATATAGAGACAGAAAGCGAGAAATCACCCCCTAGAGTGGATGGGCACACTGCAATCCCTTCTCCTCTCGGGATCCTGGGCACGCATGCACACGCGCCTGGCGTGAGTTTTAAGCCACTGGGTCCGGGACACGAACCGCGGTCGACTACGTGGGTGTCCAGTGACATAGCCATTACGCTAACTGCTGGTTTCCTTGTTCTTTCTCTTTCTAACACGCTGTCCAGATATAGACCATCTGGTAGTGAGCAAATGCTGAAGAGTGGTACAGAAGGCTGTTACACAGTCCCAGGGAGGGGAAGAAGGGAACAGGCTGTTGCAGTAGGAAGGATTTCAAGAGGAGTTGGGGTTTGTTACCCTAAAGGGTATACACATTGAAAGGAAGAGGAGAAAACAATTAATGACAGCAATAACTTATATTTGTATAGTGCTTTATACTTTATTCATGATTGTGGTATATATTCTCATTTAATATTCACAGCAACCCTTTGATTAGGTTGGGTAGATATTGTCCTCATTTTATAGTTTACAGAAATAAGATCGAGGGAGAACAAAATGACTTTTCACATTGCCATGGCAGTTCAGGTAATAAGTGTCTCTTCTTGGTAACTAGTGTTTTTAAGTTATCCTCATTTCTCAAATGCACACAGTAGTGGCACAGTAGAATAGGGGCTCTGACTGACTGCATCAGAATCACCTGGGGAGGTTTATAAAGAAAAGGAAGACAAAGAAACAGAACAAATGACTGGATTACCCAAGCTCTACCCCGGAGATTCTGATGTAATAAAGTGGAGCCGGGCCTGGATAGTAACATTGCATACAAGCTTTTCAGTTCATTCTGATAAAAACCTAGTCTTGAGTGATACAGAGAACAATTTTCATTCAGAAACTTGAAAATATATGCTCTGCTTATATTATGAAAGTCTTAAGGAATTAAGGAGTTTATATTTCTATTTTCAATACTAGTGAATTGTAATAGAAATATGTGAACTATTTAAGTGATCAAGTAGTTTTAAATTGTAGTAGCCGCAGTAAGAAATGTGGAATGTATTTAAGAATATATCTTATTTAATTCAATATGTCTAAAATATCAGTTCAGCATGGAATCAGTATATTATGAACGTATTTTTCATTCTTTGTAATATTGATACTAAGCCTTTGAAGTTTGGCGTCCATTTTTAGATTTATGGCATATCTCAGTCTATACTAGCCACGTGTCCAGTTGTCATGGCATGATTGAAGACGAGGAGGAGCCAGTCAGGGTGTTGGGTGGAAAACCTCTCACTCTCTTAATTTAACACTCGAGGACCTGCAAATTTAATTGACAAAAGACAAATGAACAAGAGAAAAGGCATACTTTTTATGTTAGTATTTTTACATGCATTGGAAATTTCATAGAAAAGAAAGGAAACTTGAAGAAGTTAGATTTAGGGGCTTGTATACCATTTTAACAAAGGTCTATAAATTATGGAGCAGCGACTAGACAAACGAAAGAGTTTGGGCGTTTAAGGGTAGTAAATTGTGGGAGAGTGACTCGGACATGAATGGAGAAACACGTGGAAGGTAAGGGTTATTTCATAGAGACTGTCTTTGGAAAATCGTCTTTGTTGTGACTCCTCGTCTCTGCCATGAGTCCATCTTCTCTCCCTAGCATAGGGAGGGAATTTCTCGAAAAGAGGAATTTGTATCTTGTTTTTAGGCAGAAAGGGGAGAACAGAGAATGTTTTCTGTGTCTGTTGATTCAGAATTGACTTCAGCTCAAAATAATCCTTATGCCAAGATGGCATATTTCAGTGTGTCATATTCTGATCTCTTTCAAGGGTAATATATTTTATTATGTGTGCTTTTCAAGGTACATAGACCTTCAAGTCTTTAGCAGTACAGCCTGATATTTACTTGATGGAAAAGATTGACATTGAGTGAGTGTTTTAAATGACCTTTCCTTTAAATTGCTGATTAAGCGAATGGAAAGTAATCGGAGACTTCATTAGTGTAGGCTAATGTGGGCAGTGAAAATTAAATTTAGAACCTTCTATCTGGACACAGGCTCTTAGAGTTCTTCAAGGTTTAATGGTGGCATTACTTTTTTTCTTTTTTACAATGAATGTATAGTCTTTTGACAGTTACTGAGCTAGATGAACTTGGCTTTCAAAGGGGTTGCTGTGGGCCTCGCCTGTGCTCGGGCAGGCTGGTCTAGACCTCGGTAGGCACTCTGACTTGACTGGCTCTTGAGTTTACAGAGCAGCCTGAGCGATCTGATTTAAAGTGTACCTGGCAAAGCCAGTATCTCCAAATCTGCATCTGCTAACCTTTGTCTAGTGCTATCTTTTCAGTAACTTCATTTTCCTCTCTTCTACAGGCATCTAGTTTTGCAGGTGATCTGAGCTATGCCATTGCTGGCTTGATATTTTTAGAATATAAAGCAAGTGCACAGTGGTCTGCAGAACTCCTGGTCATCAGCTACAGAGGAGAACTGAGAAGTTACCTCGTAAGGTAACAGTGTACTGCGGGAAGTCCTATTTGAGTCCGTACTGTTTCTCAGGTTTAGTGTACGATTCTGGTATTTCTTTTTTTTTTTCCTCCTCCCAGCATATTCTGAAAAGTTGCAGATGTATCAGGAAAGTTGAGAGAATTGTCTAGAGAAACCCATATACTTCCACTTGGATTCTGTGATTAGGATTTTACTATACCTGCTGTATCACATTTCTGTCCATCTCCCTATTCCTATATCCAGCTACTAATCAATCTTATTTTTTAATGTGTCTCACAGTAAGTTGCAGACATTAGTATTCAAATATTTAAGTAGGCATATCGCTACTGTTCAGTAATTGCTTAGTTTCTTCTCTTTCGAGGTAAAATCTAGATATAACAACATGTGTGAATCTTCATTGTACCGTCTAGTGAGTTATGACTCATGTATTTGTGCAGTAAAACCCTGTCAAGATACAGAACGTTGGGCCAGCTGGTGGTGTGGTGGTTAAGGCGGTCAGATCCCACATAGCCAACTTTGTAGTTGGAGTCTTGGATCTGGTGGTTGGAATCCTGGACCCAGTGACTCGAAAAACACACCAGGCACATGTGTGCGTGCCCCAAATCCTGAGAGGATAGTGGAGGAGAAGGGATTGTGGTGCAGCACTCCCTTTTGGGGGTGATTTCTCACTTTCTCTCTCTGTGTCTCTCTCCAGTCAGCACATGTGCTCTATAACAAAGTAAAGAAAAAGAGAAAAAAGATATATAGAATATTACCATCATGCATGAAGGCTTCCTTCTGCTCCTTCCCGGTCAATGTGTACCCACCTCAAGAACAAATTCTGTTTGAAGCTTTTTTTAAAAAAAAATTATTCAGGGAGAGAGAAAGAGAGAGTGAGAATGTGATAGGTACCACCAACAGGATCCTGGTGCCACAATCCATCCCTGGTCTCATCCAGCCTATGTCGTGGGCAACCTGTGCACACTCAGCTGCACACGGTTCCTGGGCCACGAGCCTGGGACCTTCCCATGTGGGTCCAGCTGGGTTGCTGCTATGCCACTACTGGACCCTTAAACACCTTTCAAATCATAGATTAGTTTTGCTTGTTCTATAATAATTCACACTAATAAAATCATATAGTCTGTGTGCTTTTTTGTCTAAGTCTTCATTTATTCAGCATAATATTTTAATTTTCATCCATAGTTTTATACATAGCAGTAGTTTTTTCCTTTTTATTGTGGACTAGTATTTTATCGTATGAATAGCTCACAGTTTGTTTACATATGTTTCTATTGATGACCCCCTTGGTTTCTGCTTTTGGGCTGTTGCTTCTGTGACTATTCTTATACAAGTCTTTATGGGCATACATGGGGGTTCAAAGAGCTCAAGGGAAAATGAATCTAAATGTAAGTTTATTTTGGCGCAGATGAATTTTTGAAATCTGTGTATAGTTTGTCATAATATAAATTTTCTGTGAGGTATTTTTCTTTTTTAGAGAGATTTTAGCGATAGGGCATGTCTGCTCTCCAGAGTCAGAGAGCGACAGAGAGATAAAAAGGGAGAAATCACCGCTTGGGGGGATGACCACACCGCAACCCCTTCTCTTCCATTCTCCTCTCGGGTTTCTGGGCACACATGCACATGTGCCCAGTGCTAGTCTCAAGCTGCCAGGTCTAGGACTCAAACTACGTGGGAGTCTAGTAATATAACCGTTTTGCCATCTGTTGGTCACATTCCATGAAGTTTTTTGAGACATCCTCGTCATCTACTTTTATTCTTCTGAGGTCTGTATTTTTGATGGGTTTCTGGGTAGATACAGTTTATAAGAAACTACCAGATTTTTTCTTTAAATCAAAATTGGTTTTATCAGTTACTAAAATGTATCAGAGTTCTGGTTCATTCTCAGCAATATTTGGTCTTGGGTTTTTTTAAAGAATTACTTTATTTATTATTATTATTTTAGATTTTACCACAGAGAGAGAGGGAAAGTGAGAAAGCAAGCCGGCAGATCTTGGACTTGAACTATAGTTGACCATGTGGGAGTCCAGCATCTTAACCAGCATGCCCTCTGCCAGCTCATAATCTTGTCTTTTTTTTCAAGAGTGATTTTTGCCATAGGTTGTGTGTGCTAGACAGATAGAATGTAAGAAATCACACCCCAGAGGAGATGGCCACACTGCAATCCCTTCTCCTCCACTCTCCTCTCGGGGTTTTGGGCACATATGTACATGCACCCAGTATGAGTTTTAAGCCACTGGGTCCGGGACTTGAACCATGGTTGACTATATGGGAGTCCAGCTACATAACCATTATGATACCTGCTGGTGCCTTGTTTTTTTTTTTTTTTTTTTAATTATAGACTTCTTTCAGTCATTTAATGATAGTCATTGTAGTTTAATGGTATTTATTTCTTATATCGTCTTACATTTAGTGTTGGGACAAATCAGAGCTACCAGGAGAGCCACTGTTTCAGCTTCAGTAGTCATTATCCTCACGGAGTCCACACGGCGATTTACCATCCTGGTCACAGGTAAGTAGCAGTCCGTTCGTTGTTGTAGTCATGTTCTGATCATTCGTGATTTTCTGCCTGACTGACTAAGCTTCTCTGAGCCAGATGGGGCACTAGGAATATTGGTTGAGCAATTTCTCCTCTCTTAATCATCTGGGCCTCACTTCTCTCATCTCTAAATGCATGCCATTATTGCGAGCTCTCATAAAGTGCTTCCACACATAGTGTCCTCACCTGGAAGGGCCTCCGTTGTCCTTGCAAGTTCAGGCTGGATTGATCGTTGCAGTTCCTTCCAGCAGCTGTATCCCAGGCTTCACGTTCGCCGCTTTTCCAGTGTTTGCCACCTGTACCAAGGGTTACCCGTAACGTGAGGCAGATCCTACCTCCAGTGACTTCTCTCCTTTTATTTTGTTGAGCATGAAATTTACATGAATTTTTGTAAGTTAGCCAAGCTACTCTTTTTCTCCAAATGGGACGTATATTAAATGTTGAGACTGCCAAACAGTTTTAGTCTGGTTTCATTCATTCATTTAGTCATTTACTTATTTAAATGTTTATGTATTTATTTAACATTTAATTTATTAATTTTTAATGTGTTCTTATAAAGCTACCAGAGTCAATATTGGGGGTCCTGCTATGATTTCATCTAATCCTAGTCACCTCCCAAAGGCCATTTTACTACCACAGTCAGAGCAGTCAGGTCTCTGCCCTCTCAGCGCCCTTAGGGTGGCTCCCCAGATTTCAACCCATGAATCTCTGGGGCACATTCAAACCCTAGCACAAATCCAAATTGAGTTCTGAGTTTTGGGATTTACTCTGTGTATATAAGAGAGGGTAAATTCTCTGATCCTTAGTGTGCTTAACTTTTTTTAAAAACTTATTATTATCATCTTTTTCATTTGCTGTAGGGCATGTGTGCTCACCAGAGACAGACACAGAGAGAGAGGAAAAATGACAAAAGCTGTCAGGTCCTGGCTAGACTTGCAGGTTATGTGGGAGTCCAGTGCCTTCACCACCACGGTGCCTGCTGGCCCTGCTTAAGTCTTTATAACTAAAAGTGCATATATGTTTTGTATTCTATCCAGTCGTAGTTCTTGTTTTTTTTTTTAATTAAATATATATATATATATATCTATACTACAGAAACACACACACTTCCCCTTTGTGCTCTTTTATTTATACTACAGAATCACACACACTTCCCCTCTGTGCTCTTTTATTAAATATATATATATCTATACTACAGAAACACACACACTTCCCCTTTGTGCTCTTTTATTAAATACATATATATTTATACTACAGAAACACACACACTTCCCCTTTGTGCTCTTTTCTGATCCTGTCCTCTGTATCCTCCTAGAGATAGCCACTGTTGTAGATTTTGCGTGTATAATTCCCTTGCTTTATTTTCAGTTTTGCACTTATTTATACTTAGTTTTGCTGTTTTGACTTTATGTGATTGGACTCACATATGCAAGTCCCGCTTTTGTGACTTGCTTCTTGATGCATGTTGCTCTAATTTATTCATCTTTAACTACGGTGAGGGCATGTCATTTTATGAATAACTTGCAACACGTTTATCCGTTCTCCCACAGATAAAAATTTGGTTTGTTTCTGGCTTTGCTGTTATTTTAAAAACAGTACTGTAGTAAAAGTTATTGTATAGTCTTTTGACACCTATGTACAAGAGGTGCCGAGGGATAGAGAAATAGTACCGTAATTCCTGAATTGCCAGGTAAGTCAATCTTCAACTTTACTAGATAGTATCAAATGTTTCCCAGAGTTGCAAAGTTTCCAGTCAGGTCAGCCATGTATGTATAAAAGTTCTCCTTCCACCTTCTCAGTAGTCTTCTTGATGACTTCAAACATAAATATTTGCTGATCTGGTAATTGTAAAAGAATATCTCAATGAAGCTGTGCATTTCCCTTGTTACTGATTTGGTTATTGTGAAAGAGTAGCTCGCTGTGGTTGTGCATTTCCCTTGTTACCGATTTGGTTATTGTGAAAGAGTAGCTCGCTGTGGTTGTGCATTTCCCTTGTTACTAATTTGTAATTGTACAAGAATATCTCAACTGTAGTTTTACATTTCTCGTGTTATTGATTTGGTAATTGTAAAGGAATATCTCACTGTAGTTTTGCATTTCCCTTGTTACTAATGAGTTGAGCAGCCTTTCATGGTATTAGATATTCATGTTTTTCCATTTATGAAATGCTTTTGATGTCTTATTTTAGTTGATTCCTTCGATTGTTTTGCTATATCTACATAAGATGCTTACATTGCTGCTTCTTGATTTCTAATTTCACGCATTATCTGTTGACTTCCTTTTATGGAAAATGGTCATTTAGTTTTATTACCTCCTTCACCACATGTATACACACTGAACTGTCACTCATTCTGTTTTTATTTATATCATGATTTTGTAGGAAAAATGTTATTATGTTTATGTAGATAAGAAGCTTTTTTTATTTTCTTGCTATAGGGCACATGTGCTCGCCAGAAAGAGAGAAAAAGAGACAGAAAGTGAGAAATCACTCCCCAGGGGGATAACCACGCTGCTATCTCTTCTCCTCCTTTCTCCTCTCGGGCTCTTGGGCACGCACACGCGCCCGGCGTGAGTTTAAGCCACTAGGTTTGGGACTCGAACTGCAGTCGACTACATGGGAGTCCAGTGACATAGCCATTACACTAACTGCTGGTCCCAATAAGCAGCTTTTTACTGTATTTCATGAGTGATTTTTCTTTCTTATTTGCTATCTACTCATTAATTTATTCAATAAACATTTATTGATTTTCTGTAGGATGCCATGTACTGTCTCAGGTGGTTGGGATATATATCCTTTATGGAACTGAAGAGGGGGTGACAGACTAGAAACAATGCACAGAAAGGGTGCATGGAGTGGTTAGGAACTATGGAAAAAATGAGTAGAGATGCAGACCAGGAAGATGGGAGAGTAGGTTGCTGATTACACATAAATAGGGTAGTAAGGTTCTCCTCATTGAGAAAGTGACATTTAAGTTGCCAGGTAAGTAAATCTTCAGCTTTATTAGACAGTATAAAATGTTTACAGAGTTGCAACAGTTTCCAGGTACGTCAGCCATATGTGAGAATATCAGTTATTTAGGGATCTGGGAGAAGAGTGTTCTGTGTAGATGGAATGGCCAAAGCAAACCCAGAGTTGGGAGTGCGCTTGGCACTTCTTGAACAGCAAGGAGGTCAGTTTGGTTAAAGCACTTGGAGAAGTGGAGTCGTAAGCTGAGGTCAAAGAATGGTGAGTGCTCAATCATTCAGGGTTCATAGGCTGTGGTAAGACCTGCTGGGTACCTTCTTACTTGTATGTATTATCGTTAGTCTATTCATAATTAATAATGTACTTCAGATTCACCCTTAAACTCACTCCCATTAATGTGAATCACTTGCCTGTGTATCACATAGATTATGTGTTCTGTAAGTTTCATCTTTTTACCGTGAATCAAATTTCCCCAAACGGGGAGCTTTATTGATTACTTTCTTCTCTCACAAAAAGACCAACTGTAATCAGAGGAGGCGAACATTCACCTCAAGATTCTGTTGTCTTCATAATAAAAAAGATGAGACTTAGAACTGGATCACTTGACCCTTTCTCTTCTTATCTCCTTCCAGTTCAAAATGCTTGCATCTCTGAATAGCCAGCATTCTCTCCGATCTGCAGTTGGGCTCAACACATTCAAGCCTCAGCACAATCTTCTTTGTAGTTTTTGCCTTTTTCCGGAAAATAGACTTAGTCTGTCCGCCGTAGCCACTCTGCTTCCTGTCAACGCCACTTTCCCTGAGCACACAGAGACTGCTGTCCTTTTTGTACTGTGTCACTTTATGAGGTTGGTGCTTGCCATACTTCTTACAGAAGGTCCGGCGGGTTTTAGGGATGTTCGCCATGCTTGCGGGCCTGCTCTCTGCACGGAAAGCTGTAGGTTTCATCTTGAGCAGGTCTCTCAGAACTTTCTGGTCTGTTATAGTTTAGATTTACACCTGCTGTGTCGTTACTGTCTTGGAATTTCACTTCGCCGCCATCCTGAGGATTGCCTTTATATTTCTCTTTTGTTGGTGGCTGTTTCCTGGATCTTTTATTATTTTCTTTCTTGGTTTATTTTACTGTTTTTGTGGGTTACAACCTCCAGTAATTTCCTGAGAAAGGGTACATGGGAAGTATGTGTGTGTATGTATTTTAATTGCCATAGGGCTTGTGTGCTAGCCAGTGAAAAAGAGAGAGAGAAAAAGAGAGAGAGAGAGAGAGCGAGAGAGAGAGAGGAGAGACTCTTTTTCAATGGGGTATGGTTACTCTGCCATTTCTCCATCCTATCAGGATTTAGGACATGCAGGCTCATGGACCTAGTGTGTTTTTTAAGCTGCCAGGGCTGGGATTTGAACTGCAGTCAGCCGTGTGGGATCCAGCTCCCTACACACAGAGCTTAACTGCTGCATGAAAGATTTGGCCAGATGTAAATTTTTGGACAGCTTGACTGAAAAATCATTTTTCAGACTATGTCTTAAAATGGCTTTATTCTAGCTTCATGCTTAATTTATAATTTGGCTGTATGTAATTATAGGCTGGAGATAATTTTCCCTTAGAATTTTGAAGGTGTTGCTTAATTTTTTATTGCTCTTGAGAATTCTAGTTTTTCTGGTATAAACCACATTTTTCTTTCATTTTCTGCTTTTTGTACCACTTCTTTCTGGAACCTAACATTTTCTTTTCTCCCCAGTTCTGAAATTTGACTATGTTGATTTGGAGTAGGTTTAATAACACCCACAGAGCTGGCCCTTCTGCTTGGGTACTTATAATCCTCACTTTGGGGAAAATCCTGAATTATTTCTTTAGTTGTGTCCTCCCCCATTGTTTTTTCTGGAACTTCTTTTAGCTAGATGTCAGGTCTCCTAGAATCACCTTCAATTTTTTTGTTCTTTCCTTTTCTCCCTTTTGTTTTTGTTTAAGAAAGAGAAGTAAAAAATTATGTTAATTTTTCTGTACATGTGTAACT